ACTACTCAACGGGTGCAGCACCGTTTGCAGAATGGGACTTTTGGCGGGCTCAGCAGGGCAGAGACAGCCTGGACAATTCCTATTGGCTTTTGAAAGCCAATAGAATTAGACTCTATTCAAGAGAGTCTATTCTACTGGCTTTCAAAAGCCAATAGAATAAAATGGAGTAGCATAGCTAAGGAAAAGGGGTAAAAAAATGGCGGAGTGCGTTGTTTGGTGACCCCCATGAAATGGTCGTTCGGCCCCAAATGGGGTCCCAACCCACAGGTTGAGAACCACTGATCTAGTGGGTGGGGGCAAAGGAATTATTGTATATTTTCTTCTTTTGGCTTAGAATATGCCCTCCTTGTTTCCGATCTTTTGTCTATGAAATAGACGTCACACATCTTTTTCTAGGATCATAAGAAGTGGGGGAGGGGCAGAGGGATAGAGGTAGGTGTAGGCAATTTGATTAGAATAACAGAGTTGGAAGGGACCTTGGAGGTCATCTAGTCCAACCCCCCCAAGCAGGAGACTCTATACCAGGGGTGTCAAACTGCCGGCCTGCGGGCCGGTTGCATCATGCGGAGGTCATGCCCACCCCAGCTCTGGCAATGCGCAAAAAGTCACAATACGTCACGACATGTCACGTGACGTGGCAAGTTTGACACCCGTGCTCTAGACCATTTCTGATAGTGGCAGTCCAGTCTCTTCTTGGACGCTTCCAGTGATGAAGCTCCTACAACATCTGAAGGCAACTTCAGTTCCATGGGTGGATTGTTCTCACTGTCAGGAAATTTCTCCTTAATTCCAGGTTGCTTCTCTCCTTGATTAATTTGCATCTGTTGCTTCTTGTCCTGCCTTCAGGCACCTTAGAAAATAGCTTGACTCCCTCTTCTTTGGGGCAGCCCCTGAGATACTGGAAGACTGCTATCATGTCCCCCCTCGTCCTTCTCTTTGTTAAACTAGACATCCCCAATTCCAGCAACCGTTCCTTATATACTTTAGCCTCCAGTCCCCTGATCATCTTTCTTGCTCTTCTCTGTACTCTTTCTAGAGTCTCAACTTCTTTTTTATAGTGGCTACTATTGGTGTATCTGAGGTGGGGAAAGTAGCAGTAGATGACAGGGGTCTCCTCCTCAACCTACACCAGGACACTTTCTGGCCTTTGGGCGATTCTGCCAGACGACACAGAGTCTTCTGGACGTGGCTTTTGGGGACAGGCTTCTGAAGAGCCTGGAGTGGCCATTCTGGAGAGAAGACAACCAGGCTAAGACCTTTGAGGAGCATCTGGGTACATCAGTAGGAGCCAAGGGAAGTTGGCCAGGAGCTCTTCTCCTGCAGAGGCTCTTGGTTCTCCAGGCTGAGGAGATGAAGTCGCTGGTGACTTATGAACAGGGGGCACGAAAAGGAGATTTTGTGTGGACAGCTATGATGACATATGTGTAAAGCAGACACGTATTACATGCATGAGAAGCCCTCACGTATCTAATATTTTCTCTGCCATTTTGTTTTCTTTCCCTGTTTTTTTTCCTGCTTCCCCTTTATTTTTGTTCTGCTTAATTAAATGAAGGCAGAAAACTTTCCCTGATTGGCCTCATGGCCTCAAGCCAGACCATCCATGTGGAGCCATCGCAGGACAGCTGAGTCTCCGTGTCCACTCCAGACTTAAACTGCTTAAGGGGGCAGAAAAAGGCATCTGAGACCTTCTCCTCTTTCTCCTTTTCCTCCCTCCCCACTCCATTCTGGCACTGGTGATGTTACCCAGTTGTATCATGAAACGTCTCCCAGAAAACCATGAAGCTTGGAGAGCATCAAGGAACCCGCAGTCCTCCCCCTCCTCTTCCCTCTCCTCCCCCTCCAACCCCACTCCCTTCTACCACTGATGAGGTTAGCTAGTTGTGTAATGAAAGGTGTGCAAGAGCACTAAGGACACCACAGTCTTCCGCCTCCCCCTCAAACCCCCCTTTCTTCTAGCGCTGATGAGGTTAGCTAGTTGTGTAATGAAAGATGTGCAAGAAAACCACCAAGCTGGGGGTCCAGCCAGGACTGTACGGTTCAACCATGGGCTACAAATACTCTCTTTCCTCTTTGCCCCATTTACTCCGTAGGGCCCCCTGGCCTCCGTTCCCCACACTGGGACCTCGACTGAGCAGCCCTGCCAGAAGAACTGCAACCTTGCAAAATCCAAGCAACTGTTATTTGACTGCTGACTTTAATTGTTTGGTGTGGATGAGGCTTATTGCTGTGCCAGAACTTCTGAATTCTCTGACCTTGCCTCATCCAAACCCATCTCCCAGGGCAGTTGAAGTTCTGCCTTGTGAAACTTAAGGAGTTTCCATTGGGTCTTCTGACTGGCATGAGAGGATGCTGATCAGCCCAGGGTGCCCCTCCCCCACTGCCCATCTATTAACCAACCTCAGGGGCTCAGGTGGGGAGGGAAACTCCTTAAGGGCGCAGAAAAAGGCACCGGAGACCAAAAAGGCAGCAAGAAGCAAAGCTTTATTGCAGAACGGAAGGGATGGAACCAGGGTGGGATTTGGGTGAGGGTCTCCAGAATAATCCAGGATGGAAGAAAAGCCTCTCAGTGAAGTTGGCGAATCAGACCCAATTCAGGGGGGTCTCCTTGTTGGGGATGCTGTAAAAAGAAATATTCAGACGTGAGATTTCTGCTCACGAGTGCAAGCAGGGCTTCATCCTGGCTAATCTTACAACCACAGAGACCGGAATTGAATTCAGGAAGAATGGCCTGATTGGGAGAGCCAGGAAGCAATGGGGTAGCTGCCCCACTGGAGTTATGGGGCTCCGTGACTGGGGGTTTCAAGCAGAACACAGAATATAGAATAACAGAATTGGAAGGGACCTTGGAGGTCTTCTAGTCCAACCCTCTGGTTAAGTAGGAAACCCTACACCATTTCATACAAGGGGGTGAACTGTCTCTTCTTGAAAACCTCCAGGGATGGAGCACCCAGAACGTCTGAAGGCAACTTCTGTTCCACTCATTAATTGTATTCCCTGTCAGAAAAATTGGTTCCTAGTTCCAGGTTGCTTGATGAGTTTCTTGTCCTGCCCTCTGGGGCTCTGGAGAATAGGCAGACCGCTCTTCTCCAGGACAAAGCAAAGCAAAGGTGGGAGAAGATCTCTCCAGGATGCTCTGAGGATTTGTGCCCTGCAAGGAGGGTGGATTAGAAGACCTTTCCCCCATCCCCTCTTTCCAGGAGACCTCAAGGCCACAGCTTGGGCATCTTCACAGGCTCTTTCTAACTTAGACAGGGGGCATTTCTTATAGTCAAAAATGTCAGCTTGGCTTTGGCTCCCCAGATGAAGCTGTGGACCTTCCTGTCACCTAAGAATGGACCAGTTCTGGTCTGCCCAGAGGATGAGCTGGACCAAAGTGGGCAAGGGGTTCTGTCCTCTCCTCTCCTCTTCCTAAAAGGCCTCCTTGCCCGGGGCCTTCTGGCTTCCTGACCAGGCTGGCAGGAGGACCATCTTCCTCAACACAGTGGCCAGCAGCAGCTGGAATGGGGTGGGTTTGGAGCATTCTCCCAATGGTGCTTCAGGAGGAGAAGACGTCAGGAGACAGTGGGAGGGGGAGAGGCAGGGTCAGTCTCATGGCTTGCAGAGAGTGGGGGTGGCTATCTATTAGGAAGAAGACCCCCGCTACACCAAGATCTGCTTTAGCATCAGGGAACCTTACTTCAGCTCCAACTTTGATGGACGAGAGGAGAGCCTGGAGATGCAGCAGCCTGAAAGATCCCACAGAGATCTGCATGTAGCAAGATGAAGTCTAGGCCAAGGTGACACCACACAGCTGACCATTTGGTCGAAGCAAACTACACAAGTGACAACATGCGGGACTTACCAAATTTCCCCTAGGCGGGATTCTTGCACTCAGCCAGGAATCCATAAAGGCAACACTTCTGCCTCCCAGGACAGTTCCAGTCATTCTGGCAATGATGTTGAGGACGTTGAGGATGTTGGGGATGTTGGGGATGTTGATGGCCTTGGGGACACCTCCCACGTTTTCCTGCAAAACAGAAGACCCCAAGGCTGAGAGATTCCTCTAGAACTGGCATCCCAGATCAAGCAAGATCCCATCTCTGGACCTTTCAGCACCCAAAACATCTCCACATATCCAGATGAAATGTTCCCAGTGGACCATCTCTCCCCCCCCCCCAATGTCCCCACCAAGCCCAGCCATTTCCTCCTGGGGTCAACCTCTCAGGACTCTGGGATGGACTTTATAACGGGGCTCCTCTGCCTGAACTCAGGATGCTGGGGGTGCAAATGTGTCCCCCATTTCTACCACAGAAGAAAGCGGTTCTCCTTGTGGGTCCATCTCGGTCTGCTTTCCCCTCAGGCAGGAATTCCAGGAAATGAGAGACAGACCTTTCCTCTGTTGGCTCTACATTCCCACAGCCCCCTCCCCAAACCCAGAGGGGGCAAGATAGCCCCCTCCCCCAGGAAGAAAATAATATCCCAATCAAGTAAATATCAAGAAGAAAAACCCTCCACACCAAGGCTTGTTAGCCAAGGTGAAGTATCTAAACAGGGATGCTTCCTCCTTCTCCTCCAAGACCACTACCTCCTCCTTCTTCTCCTCACTCAGCATTCTTTCTCCTCCTCTTCCCCCTCCCCCTCCTCCTCTCTGTCAACCTCACTCCCTTCCAGCACTGATGATGTTCCCTAGTTGGGTCATGAAACATCTGCAAGAAAACATCCAACCTCAGAGAGCATCAAGGACCCCACGGTCCTCCTCCTCCTCCTTCTCCTCCTCCTCCTCCTCCTCCTCCTCTCTACAAACCCCACTCCCTTCCAGCACTGATGATGTTCCCTAGTTGGGTCATGAAACATCTGCAAGAAAACACCTGAGCTCAGAGAGCAAGAAAGGAATCCATAGTTCAACTCTGAAAATTCCCTTCCCTTCTACTGAACCAATCATAGCCTGTCGTGAGAACCGGGATGTTACATTAAGCCACCCACTTCTTTTCCAATGAAGAAGCCAATCCGTAGCTCCTTCCCTACTTACCAACACAGGTATAGAGACATTCATTCCTGGACTTAAAATTGTTGGCATTGCCTTGGCATCCACCGTAAATAAATTCTCTACATCCGTTTGAAGCCGAGTGGTAATGGAAGTGATGGAAATGGCCTTTACATGGTCCATGAACAGGAGGAAGATAACAAAGTTCTGCAGGAAATGGAAAGGTTTGTGTGTTTGTGTGTGTGTGTTATTTGATTAGCTAGCAGAAACGTCTTTAAGGCACTTCCCCAAACAGGAGCCCTCCTAGCATGCTCAGTCTGCACATGGTCAAGAGTCATCTGGGAAGATTTAATTTGGTTTCCTGCTCTGGGGTTTGGAGAGGATGGCTGAATGACGGACCCTGTGGCTTAAAGTCCTGATTCTGCTGTTGCATTGAGTAGAGATAGGTCAGCCTTCCCCTGAAATTGCATCTCTCTTTCTGTCTCCTCTTCAGCTGACACCCAACTACCATCTCAAGAACCTTCCCAGAAGAGGCCCCACCAAGCCAGAGGTTCTAGACTGGGGCTCTTGGTTTTCCCTCCCTGGGGGAGAACTCTGCCCTCTGACCATGTCAGCCTCTCCCAGCAAAGGGTTTCAAGGTCATTCTGGAAACTCACGTGGACGGTCCTGGCTGGAGACGGGGGTCAGCTCTGCCCAGAGGCTGAGGAGTCCCAGCAGGAGAAGAAGACCTCCAGAAGACATGATGAAGCCGTCTGCCCCACACCCGGGCTGCTCGCTCTATTTATTCTCCCCACTGGGAATTTCACATCCGGGAAGCAGGATGGAGTAACAGAGTGAGAATTTCAATTCTTTCCTCTTTCATCAGTTGGTTGAACAAGAGGTTGGGAATCCTGAGAGTTGCATTGGCTGGACGGTTGGGGAAAGCTAGGCAGGTCCCTGTTGTCCACTTCAGGTCTCCCTCCCCCACATACTCCAGGTCCCCAGTGCTATTCCCCAGGTCCCCATCCTCGCCAAAAGGAAAGTTCTGTTGTGTCTGGTACTCTCAGCTTAGGCAGATGGTCAGAAGTCCAGGATCAAAGTCCACAGATCCACCTAGACAAACTGCAAAATCCAGGTCCAAAGTCCACAGGTGGAAGCCACGCCAAGGTGTGAGTCCAGAACCCAATGAAGAACTACAGGGTCCAAATATGCGCTCAAACAAAGCAGAGGTCAAGAAAACAGAAGCCACAGAGTTGGGATACACCCACGAGAGGGATAATGGGCAGTTGCTTCCAACACCACGTTGCTCTTCCTCCTCTTCCTCCTCCTCTCCACAAATCCTGCACCCTTCTAGCACTGATGAGAGTACCGACCTGGGTCCTGAAACATCTGCAAGAAAAGCACCAGGGACCCCACAGTCCTCCTCCTCCTCTCCTCCTCTTCCTCCTCTCCCCAAACTGCACACAATTCTAGAACAGATGAAGTTATCTAGTAATAAAATGCGTTCAAGAAAACCACCAAGCTCAGAGAGCACAAAGGACCCCACAATCCTCCCCTCCCCTCCTCTTTTTCTTCTCCTCCTCCCCCTCCCCCTGCAACTCAACTGCCTTCTACCACTGAGGTTAGCCAGTTGTGTAATGAAAGGTGCAAGAAAACAACCAAGCTCAGAGAGCACCAAGGACCCCTACAATCCTCCTCCTCTCCTCCTCCTCCTCCTCCTCCTCCTCCTCCTCCTCCTCCTCCTCTTCTCCTCCTCCTCCAACTCAACCACCTTCTACCACTGATGCGGTTAGCTAGTTGTGTAATGAAAGGTGTGGAAGAGCACCAAAGACACCACAGTCTTCCTCCTCCCCCTCCCCCTCCAACCCCCCTTTCTTCTACCACTGATGAGGTTAGCTAGTTGTGTAATGAAAGGTGTGCAAGAAAACCACCAAGCTGGGGGACCAGCCAGGACTGTACGGTTCAACCATGGGCTACAAATACTCTCTTTCTTCTTTGCCCCATTTACTCCGTAGGGCCCCCTGGCCTCCGTTCCCCACACTGGGACCTCGACTGAGCAGCCCTGACAGAGGAACATAAAGCGGTATATAAGTCTCATAAATAAATAAATAAATAAACTGCAACCTTGCAAAATCCAAGCAACTGTTATGTGACTGCTGACTTTAATTGTTTGGTGTGGATGAGGCTTATTGCTACACCAGAACTTCTGAATTCTCCGACCTTACTTCATCCAAACCCATCTCCCAGGGCAGTTGAAGTTCTGCCTTGTGAAACTTAAGGAGTTTCTGTTGGGTCTTCCGACTGCCATCAGAGGATGCTGATCAGCCCAGGGTGCCCCTCCCCCACTGCCCATCTATTAACCAAGCCTGGTTAAGGAGGAGCAAGGACAGATGAAGGAGCAAGGAATTAAAAAAATACCGCAAGCAGGTAGGAGAACCTGCTGGGTACCCACCCCTCCTATCCGTGGACCAATCTTCCTGCACTGATGACGTTACCAAGTCTTGAAGGAAAAATCTCCATCAGGGTCCAGTCCAAGCCGGGAACAATCAAAAGGGAGACTGCTTTAGAAAGAAGGTTGTAGTTTATTGAAGAGGAGAGCCAGACAGAAAGATGGCTCTGGAAAAAAACTGACCACATGGAGCAGAGTGGTGGACTTTTATATACCTTCTGGGGCTCTTAAGGTTGTTTACTGTTCCTGTTTGAGGCTTTTTATTTCCTGTGTCATGTACTTTGACCTGATTCTGAGTGTGCCCTTTTGGTATTGGTGGGTTCATCCTATTATGTCTCCTGTCCTTAGAATTTGGGTGGGGTATGTAGATTTTAAGGCTCTTTGTCTTCCTAATCCAGGGGTCTTCAAACTTGGCAACTTGAAGCCTTTCTGGCTCAGACAGGTGTTTCCCTTGCGGAAGGCCTCACTGGGGCTCAGGTGGGGAGGGAAACTGCTTAAGGGGGCAGAAAAAGGCACCGGAGGCCAAAAAGGCAGCAAAAAGCAAAGCTTTATTGCAGAACAGAAGGGATGGAACCAGGGTGGGATTTGGGGGAGGGTCTCCAGAATAATCCAGAATGAAAGAAAAGCCTCTCAGTGAAGTTGGTGAATCAGACCCAATTCAGGGGTGTCTCCTCGTTGGGGATGCTGTAAAAAGAAATATTCAGACGTGAGATTTCTGCCCACGAGTGCAAGCAGGGCTGCATCCTGGCTAATCTTACAACCACAGAGACCGGAATTGAATTCAGGAGGAAGGGCCTGATTGGGAGAGCCAGGAAGCAATGGGGTAGCTGCCCCACAGGAGTTATGGGGCTCCATGACTGGGGGTTTCAAGCAGAACACAGAATATAGAATAACGGAATTGGAAGGGACCTTGGAGGTCTTCTAGTCCAACCCCCTGCTCAGGCAGGAAACCCTACACCTTTTCAGACAAGGGGGTGAACTGTCTCCTCTTGAAAACCGCCCGTGATGGAGCACCCAGAACATCTGGAGGCAACTTCTGTTCCACTCATTAATTGTTCTCCCTGTCAGGAAATTTGTTCCAGGTTGCTTGATGAGTTTCCACCCGTCGTTTCTTGTCCTGCCCTCTGGGGCTCTGGAGAATAGGTGGACCGCTCTTCTCCAGGACAAAGCAAAGCAAAGGTGGGAGAAGATCTCTCCAGGATGCTCTGAGGATTTGTGTCCTGCAAGGAGGGTAGACTAGAAGACCTTTCCCCCATCCTCTCTTTCCAGGAGACCTCAAGGCCACAGCTTGGGCATCTTCACAGGCTCTTTCTAGCTTAGACAGGGGGCATTTCTTACAGTCAAAAATGTCAGCTTGGCTTTGGCTCCCCAGATGAAGCTGTGGACCTTCCTGTCACCTGAGCAAAGACCAGTTCTGGTCTGTCCAGAGGATGAGCTGGACCAAAGTGGGCAAGGGGTTCTGTCCTCTCCTCTCCTCCTGCTAAAAGGCCTCCTTGCCTGGGGCCTTCTGGTTTCCTGACCAGGCTGATAGGAGGACCATCTTCCTCAACACAGTGGCCAGCAGCAGCTGGAATGGGGTGGGTTTGGGGCATTCTCCCAATGGTGCTTCAGGAGGAGGAGAAGTCAGGAGACAGTGGGAGGGGGAGAGGCAGGGTCAGTCTCATGGCTTGCAGAGAGTGGGGGTGGCTATCTATTAGGAAGAAGACCCCCGCTACACCAAGATCTGCTTTAGCATCAGGGAACCTTACTTCAGCTCCAACTTTGATGGACGAGAGGAGAGCCTGGAGATGCAGCAGCCTGAAAGATCCCACAGAGATCTGCATGTACCAAGATGAAGTCTAGGCCAAGGTGACACCACATAGCTGACCATTTGGTCGAAGCAAACTACACAAGTGACAACGTGCGGGACCTACCAAACCTCCCCTAAGCAGGATTCTTGCACTCAACCAGGAATCCATAACGGCAACACTTCTGCCTCCCAGGACAGTTCCAGTCATTCTGGCAAGGATGTTGCGGACGTTGAGGATGTTGAGGATGTTGGGGATGTTGAGGATGTTGAGGATGTTGGGGATGTTGATGGCCTTGGGGACACCTCCCACGTTTTTCTGCAAAATAGAAGATCCCAAGGCTGAGAGATTCCTCTAGAACTGGCATCCCAGATCAAGCAAGATCCCTCTCTGGACCTTTCAGCACCCAAAACACCATCTCTTCCCCCCCATGTCCCCACCAAGCCCAGCCATTTCCTCCTGGGGTCAACCTCTCAGGACTCTGGGCTGGACTTTATAACGGGGCTCCTCTGCTGGGGGTGCAAATGTGTCCCCCCGTTTCTACCACAGAGGAAGGTTCTCCTTGTGGGTCCATCTCGGTCTGCTTTCCCCTCAGGCAGGAATTCCAGGAAATGAGAGACAGACCTTTCCTCTGTTGGCTCTACATTCCCACAGCCCCTTCCCCAAACCCAGAGGGGGCAAGATAGCCCCCTCCCCCAGGAAGAAAATGATATCCCAATCAAGCAAATATCAAGAAGAAAAACCCTCCACACCAAGGCTTGTTAGGCAAGCTGAAGTATCTAAATAGGGATGTTTGCTTCTCTTCCTCCAAGACCACTACCTCCTCCTTCTTCTCCTCACTCAGCATTCTTTTTCCTCCTCCTCCTCCTCCTCCTCCTCCTCCTCCTCCTCCTCCTCCTCCTCCTCCTCCTCCCCTCTACAAACCCCACTTCCTTCCAGCACTGATGATGTTCCCTAGTTGGGTCATGAAACAGCTGCAAGAAAACACCTGAGCTCAGAGAGCATCAAGGACTCCACAGTTCAACTCTGAAAATTCCCTTCTACTGAACCAATCATAGCCTGTTGTGAGAACCGGGATGTCACATTAAGCCACCCATTTCTTTTCCAGTGAAGAGCCCAGTCCATAGGTCCTTCCCTACTTACCAACACAGGTGTATCGACATTCATCCCTGGTCTTAAAATTGTTGGCATTGCCTTGGCATCCACCGTAAATAAATTCTCTACATCCATTTGAAGCCGAGTCGTAGTAGAAACGAGGAATTCTGCCTCTACATGGTCCACGAACAGGAGGAAGATAACAAAGCTCTGCAGGAAATGGAAAGGGTTGTGTGTTTGTGTGGGTGTGTTATTTGATTAGCTAGCAGAAACTTCTTTAAGGCACTACCCCAACCTGGAGCCCTCCTAGCATGCTCACTCTGCACATGGTCAAGAGTCATCTGGGAAGATTTAATTTGGTTTCCTGCTCTGGGGTTTGGAGAGGATGGCTGAATGACGGACCCTGTGGCTTAAAGTCCTGATTCTGCTGTTGCATTGAGTAGAGATAGGTCAGCCTTCCCCTGAAATTGCATTTCTCTTTCTGTCTCCTCTTCAGCTGACACCCAACAACCATCTCAAGAACCTTCCCAGAAGAGGCCCCACCAAGGCAGAGGTTCTAGACTGGGGCTCTTGGTTTTCCCTCCCTGGGGGAGAACTCTGCCCTCTGACCATGTCAGCCTCTCCCAGCAAAGGGTTTCAAGGTCATTCTGGAAACTCACGTGGACGGTCCTGGCTGGAGACGGGGGTCAGCTCTGCCCAGAGGCTGAGGAGTCCCAGCAGGAGAAGAAGACCTCCAGAAGACATGATGAAGCCGTCTGCCCCACACCCGGGCTGCTCGCTCTATTTATTCTCCCCACTGGGAATTTCACATCCAGGAAGCAGGATGGAGTAACAGAGTGAGAATTTCAATTCTTTCCTCTTTCATCAGTTGGTTGAACAAGAGGTTGGGAATCCTGAGAGTTGCATTGGCTGGACGGTTGGGGAAAGCTAGGCAGGTCCCTGTTGTCCACTTCAGGTCTCCCTCCCCCACATACTCCAGGTCCCCAGTGCTATTCCCCAGGTCCCCATCCTCGCCAAAAGGAAAGTTCTGTTGTGTCTGGTACTCTCAGCTTAGGCAGATGGTCAGAAGTCCAGGATCAAAGTCCACAGATCCACCTAGACAAACTGCAAAATCCAGGTCCAAAGTCCACAGGTGGAAGCCACGCCAAGGTGTGAGTCCAGAACCCAATGAAGAACTACAGGGTCCAAATATGCGCTCAAACAAAGCAGAGGTCAAGAAAAGAAGTCCAGGATCAAAGTCCACAGATCCACCTAGACAAACTGCAAAATCCAGGTCCAAAGTCCACAGGTGGAAGCCACGCCAAGGTGTGAGTCCAGAACCCAATGAAGAACTACAGGGTCCAAATATGCGCTCAAACAAAGCAGAGGTCAAGAAAACAGAAGCCACAGAGTTGGGATACACCCACGAGAGGGATAATGGGCAGTTGCTTCCAACACCACGTTGCTCTTCCTCCTCTTCCTCCTCCTCTCCACAAATCCTGCACCCTTCTAGCACTGATGAGAGTACCGACCTGGGTCCTGAAACATCTGCAAGAAAAGCACCAGGGACCCCACAGTCCTCCTCCTCCTCTCCTCCTCTTCCTCCTCTCCCCAAACTGCACACAATTCTAGAACAGATGAAGTTATCTAGTAATAAAATGCGTTCAAGAAAACCACCAAGCTCAGAGAGCACAAAGGACCCCACAATCCTCCCCTCCCCTCCTCTTTTTCTTCTCCTCCTCCCCCTCCCCCTGCAACTCAACTGCCTTCTACCACTGAGGTTAGCCAGTTGTGTAATGAAAGGTGCAAGAAAACAACCAAGCTCAGAGAGCACCAAGGACCCCTACAATCCTCCTCCTCTCCTCCTCCTCCTCCTCCTCCTCCTCCTCCTCCTCCTCCTCCTCTTCTCCTCCTCCTCCAACTCAACCACCTTCTACCACTGATGCGGTTAGCTAGTTGTGTAATGAAAGGTGTGGAAGAGCACCAAAGACACCACAGTCTTCCTCCTCCCCCTCCCCCTCCAACCCCCCTTTCTTCTACCACTGATGAGGTTAGCTAGTTGTGTAATGAAAGGTGTGCAAGAAAACCACCAAGCTGGGGGACCAGCCAGGACTGTACGGTTCAACCATGGGCTACAAATACTCTCTTTCTTCTTTGCCCCATTTACTCCGTAGGGCCCCCTGGCCTCCGTTCCCCACACTGGGACCTCGACTGAGCAGCCCTGACAGAGGAACATAAAGCGGTATATAAGTCTCATAAATAAATAAATAAATAAACTGCAACCTTGCAAAATCCAAGCAACTGTTATGTGACTGCTGACTTTAATTGTTTGGTGTGGATGAGGCTTATTGCTACACCAGAACTTCTGAATTCTCCGACCTTACTTCATCCAAACCCATCTCCCAGGGCAGTTGAAGTTCTGCCTTGTGAAACTTAAGGAGTTTCTGTTGGGTCTTCCGACTGCCATCAGAGGATGCTGATCAGCCCAGGGTGCCCCTCCCCCACTGCCCATCTATTAACCAAGCCTGGTTAAGGAGGAGCAAGGACAGATGAAGGAGCAAGGAATTAAAAAAATACCGCAAGCAGGTAGGAGAACCTGCTGGGTACCCACCCCTCCTATCCGTGGACCAATCTTCCTGCACTGATGACGTTACCAAGTCTTGAAGGAAAAATCTCCATCAGGGTCCAGTCCAAGCCGGGAACAATCAAAAGGGAGACTGCTTTAGAAAGAAGGTTGTAGTTTATTGAAGAGGAGAGCCAGACAGAAAGATGGCTCTGGAAAAAAACTGACCACATGGAGCAGAGTGGTGGACTTTTATATACCTTCTGGGGCTCTTAAGGTTGTTTACTGTTCCTGTTTGAGGCTTTTTATTTCCTGTGTCATGTACTTTGACCTGATTCTGAGTGTGCCCTTTTGGTATTGGTGGGTTCATCCTATTATGTCTCCTGTCCTTAGAATTTGGGTGGGGTATGTAGATTTTAAGGCTCTTTGTCTTCCTAATCCAGGGGTCTTCAAACTTGGCAACTTGAAGCCTTTCTGGCTCAGACAGGTGTTTCCCTTGCGGAAGGCCTCACTGGGGCTCAGGTGGGGAGGGAAACTGCTTAAGGGGGCAGAAAAAGGCACCGGAGGCCAAAAAGGCAGCAAAAAGCAAAGCTTTATTGCAGAACAGAAGGGATGGAACCAGGGTGGGATTTGGGGGAGGGTCTCCAGAATAATCCAGAATGAAAGAAAAGCCTCTCAGTGAAGTTGGTGAATCAGACCCAATTCAGGGGTGTCTCCTCGTTGGGGATGCTGTAAAAAGAAATATTCAGACGTGAGATTTCTGCCCACGAGTGCAAGCAGGGCTGCATCCTGGCTAATCTTACAACCACAGAGACCGGAATTGAATTCAGGAGGAAGGGCCTGATTGGGAGAGCCAGGAAGCAATGGGGTAGCTGCCCCACAGGAGTTATGGGGCTCCATGACTGGGGGTTTCAAGCAGAACACAGAATATAGAATAACGGAATTGGAAGGGACCTTGGAGGTCTTCTAGTCCAACCCCCTGCTCAGGCAGGAAACCCTACACCTTTTCAGACAAGGGGGTGAACTGTCTCCTCTTGAAAACCGCCCGTGATGGAGCACCCAGAACATCTGGAGGCAACTTCTGTTCCACTCATTAATTGTTCTCCCTGTCAGGAAATTTGTTCCAGGTTGCTTGATGAGTTTCCACCCGTCGTTTCTTGTCCTGCCCTCTGGGGCTCTGGAGAATAGGTGGACCGCTCTTCTCCAGGACAAAGCAAAGCAAAGGTGGGAGAAGATCTCTCCAGGATGCTCTGAGGATTTGTGTCCTGCAAGGAGGGTAGACTAGAAGACCTTTCCCCCATCCTCTCTTTCCAGGAGACCTCAAGGCCACAGCTTGGGCATCTTCACAGGCTCTTTCTAGCTTAGACAGGGGGCATTTCTTACAGTCAAAAATGTCAGCTTGGCTTTGGCTCCCCAGATGAAGCTGTGGACCTTCCTGTCACCTGAGCAAAGACCAGTTCTGGTCTGTCCAGAGGATGAGCTGGACCAAAGTGGGCAAGGGGTTCTGTCCTCTCCTCTCCTCCTGCTAAAAGGCCTCCTTGCCTGGGGCCTTCTGGTTTCCTGACCAGGCTGATAGGAGGACCATCTTCCTCAACACAGTGGCCAGCAGCAGCTGGAATGGGGTGGGTTTGGGGCATTCTCCCAATGGTGCTTCAGGAGGAGGAGAAGTCAGGAGACAGTGGGAGGGGGAGAGGCAGGGTCAGTCTCATGGCTTGCAGAGAGTGGGGGTGGCTATCTATTAGGAAGAAGACCCCCGCTACACCAAGATCTGCTTTAGCATCAGGGAACCTTACTTCAGCTCCAACTTTGATGGACGAGAGGAGAGCCTGGAGATGCAGCAGCCTGAAAGATCCCACAGAGATCTGCATGTACCAAGATGAAGTCTAGGCCAAGGTGACACCACATAGCTGACCATTTGGTCGAAGCAAACTACACAAGTGACAACGTGCGGGACCTACCAAACCTCCCCTAAGCAGGATTCTTGCACTCAACCAGGAATCCATAACGGCAACACTTCTGCCTCCCAGGACAGTTCCAGTCATTCTGGCAAGGATGTTGCGGACGTTGAGGATGTTGAGGATGTTGGGGATGTTGAGGATGTTGAGGATGTTGGGGATGTTGATGGCCTTGGGGACACCTCCCACGTTTTTCTGCAAAATAGAAGATCCCAAGGCTGAGAGATTCCTCTAGAACTGGCATCCCAGATCAAGCAAGATCCCTCTCTGGACCTTTCAGCACCCAAAACACCATCTCTTCCCCCCCATGTCCCCACCAAGCCCAGCCATTTCCTCCTGGGGTCAACCTCTCAGGACTCTGGGCTGGACTTTATAACGGGGCTCCTCTGCTGGGGGTGCAAATGTGTCCCCCCGTTTCTACCACAGAGGAAGGTTCTCCTTGTGGGTCCATCTCGGTCTGCTTTCCCCTCAGGCAGGAATTCCAGGAAATGAGAGACAGACCTTTCCTCTGTTGGCTCTACATTCCCACAGCCCCTTCCCCAAACCCAGAGGGGGCAAGATAGCCCCCTCCCCCAGGAAGAAAATGATATCCCAATCAAGCAAATATCAAGAAGAAAAACCCTCCACACCAAGGCTTGTTAGGCAAGCTGAAGTATCTAAATAGGGATGTTTGCTTCTCTTCCTCCAAGACCACTACCTCCTCCTTCTTCTCCTCACTCAGCATTCTTTTTCCTCCTCCTCCTCCTCCTCCTCCTCCTCCTCCTCCTCCTCCTCCTCCTCCTCCTCCTCCCCTCTACAAACCCCACTTCCTTCCAGCACTGATGATGTTCCCTAGTTGGGTCATGAAACAGCTGCAAGAAAACACCTGAGCTCAGAGAGCATCAAGGACTCCACAGTTCAACTCTGAAAATTCCCTTCTACTGAACCAATCATAGCCTGTTGTGAGAACCGGGATGTCACATTAAGCCACCCATTTCTTTTCCAGTGAAGAGCCCAGTCCATAGGTCCTTCCCTACTTACCAACACAGGTGTATCGACATTCATCCCTGGTCTTAAAATTGTTGGCATTGCCTTGGCATCCACCGTAAATAAATTCTCTACATCCATTTGAAGCCGAGTCGTAGTAGAAACGAGGAATTCTGCCTCTACATGGTCCACGAACAGGAGGAAGATAACAAAGCTCTGCAGGAAATGGAAAGGGTTGTGTGTTTGTGTGGGTGTGTTATTTGATTAGCTAGCAGAAACTTCTTTAAGGCACTACCCCAACCTGGAGCCCTCCTAGCATGCTCACTCTGCACATGGTCAAGAGTCATCTGGGAAGATTTAATTTGGTTTCCTGCTCTGGGGTTTGGAGAGGATGGCTGAATGACGGACCCTGTGGCTTAAAGTCCTGATTCTGCTGTTGCATTGAGTAGAGATAGGTCAGCCTTCCCCTGAAATTGCATTTCTCTTTCTGTCTCCTCTTCAGCTGACACCCAACAACCATCTCAAGAACCTTCCCAGAAGAGGCCCCACCAAGGCAGAGGTTCTAGACTGGGGCTCTTGGTTTTCCCTCCCTGGGGGAGAACTCTGCCCTCTGACCATGTCAGCCTCTCCCAGCAAAGGGTTTCAAGGTCATTCTGGAAACTCACGTGGACGGTCCTGGCTGGAGACGGGGGTCAGCTCTGCCCAGAGGCTGAGGAGTCCCAGCAGGAGAAGAAGACCTCCAGAAGACATGATGAAGCCGTCTGCCCCACACCCGGGCTGCTCGCTCTATTTATTCTCCCCACTGGGAATTTCACATCCAGGAAGCAGGATGGAGTAACAGAGTGAGAATTTCAATTCTTTCCTCTTTCATCAGTTGGTTGAACAAGAGGTTGGGAATCCTGAGAGTTGCATTGGCTGGACGGTTGGGGAAAGCTAGGCAGGTCCCTGTTGTCCACTTCAGGTCTCCCTCCCCCACATACTCCAGGTCCCCAGTGCTATTCCCCAGGTCCCCATCCTCGCCAAAAGGAAAGTTCTGTTGTGTCTGGTACTCTCAGCTTAGGCAGATGGTCAGAAGTCCAGGATCAAAGTCCACAGATCCACCTAGACAAACTGCAAAATCCAGGTCCAAAGTCCACAGGTGGAAGCCACGCCAAGGTGTGAGTCCAGAACCCAATGAAGAACTACAGGGTCCAAATATGCGCTCAAACAAAGCAGAGGTCAAGAAAACAGAAGCCACAGAGTTGGGATACACCCACGAGAGGGATAATGGGCAGTTGCTTCCAACACCACGTTGCTCTTCCTCCTCTTCCTCCTCCTCTCCACAAATCCTGCACCCTTCTAGCACTGATGAGAGTACCGACCTGGGTCCTGAAACATCTGCAAGAAAAGCACCAGGGACCCCACAGTCCTCCTCCTCCTCTCCTCCTCTTCCTCCTCTCCCCAAACTGCACACAATTCTAGAACAGATGAAGTTATCTAGTAATAAAATGCGTTCAAGAAAACCACCAAGCTCAGAGAGCACAAAGGACCCCACAATCCTCCCCTCCCCTCCTCTTTTTCTTCTCCTCCTCCCCCTCCCCCTGCAACTCAACTGCCTTCTACCACTGAGGTTAGCCAGTTGTGTAATGAAAGGTGCAAGAAAACAACCAAGCTCAGAGAGCACCAAGGACCCCTACAATCCTCCTCCTCTCCTCCTCCTCCTCCTCCTCCTCCTCCTCCTCCTCCTCCTCCTCTTCTCCTCCTCCTCCAACTCAACCACCTTCTACCACTGATGCGGTTAGCTAGTTGTGTAATGAAAGGTGTGGAAGAGCACCAAAGACACCACAGTCTTCCTCCTCCCCCTCCCCCTCCAACCCCCCTTTCTTCTACCACTGATGAGGTTAGCTAGTTGTGTAATGAAAGGTGTGCAAGAAAACCACCAAGCTGGGGGACCAGCCAGGACTGTACGGTTCAACCATGGGCTACAAATACTCTCTTTCTTCTTTGCCCCATTTACTCCGTAGGGCCCCCTGGCCTCCGTTCCCCACACTGGGACCTCGACTGAGCAGCCCTGACAGAGGAACATAAAGCGGTATATAAGTCTCATAAATAAATAAATAAATAAACTGCAACCTTGCAAAATCCAAGCAACTGTTATGTGACTGCTGACTTTAATTGTTTGGTGTGGATGAGGCTTATTGCTACACCAGAACTTCTGAATTCTCCGACCTTACTTCATCCAAACCCATCTCCCAGGGCAGTTGAAGTTCTGCCTTGTGAAACTTAAGGAGTTTCTGTTGGGTCTTCCGACTGCCATCAGAGGATGCTGATCAGCCCAGGGTGCCCCTCCCCCACTGCCCATCTATTAACCAAGCCTGGTTAAGGAGGAGCAAGGACAGATGAAGGAGCAAGGAATTAAAAAAATACCGCAAGCAGGTAGGAGAACCTGCTGGGTACCCACCCCTCCTATCCGTGGACCAATCTTCCTGCACTGATGACGTTACCAAGTCTTGAAGGAAAAATCTCCATCAGGGTCCAGTCCAAGCCGGGAACAATCAAAAGGGAGACTGCTTTAGAAAGAAGGTTGTAGTTTATTGAAGAGGAGAGCCAGACAGAAAGATGGCTCTGGAAAAAAACTGACCACATGGAGCAGAGTGGTGGACTTTTATATACCTTCTGGGGCTCTTAAGGTTGTTTACTGTTCCTGTTTGAGGCTTTTTATTTCCTGTGTCATGTACTTTGACCTGATTCTGAGTGTGCCCTTTTGGTATTGGTGGGTTCATCCTATTATGTCTCCTGTCCTTAGAATTTGGGTGGGGTATGTAGATTTTAAGGCTCTTTGTCTTCCTAATCCAGGGGTCTTCAAACTTGGCAACTTGAAGCCTTTCTGGCTCAGACAGGTGTTTCCCTTGCGGAAGGCCTCACTGGGGCTCAGGTGGGGAGGGAAACTGCTTAAGGGGGCAGAAAAAGGCACCGGAGGCCAAAAAGGCAGCAAAAAGCAAAGCTTTATTGCAGAACAGAAGGGATGGAACCAGGGTGGGATTTGGGGGAGGGTCTCCAGAATAATCCAGAATGAAAGAAAAGCCTCTCAGTGAAGTTGGTGAATCAGACCCAATTCAGGGGTGTCTCCTCGTTGGGGATGCTGTAAAAAGAAATATTCAGACGTGAGATTTCTGCCCACGAGTGCAAGCAGGGCTGCATCCTGGCTAATCTTACAACCACAGAGACCGGAATTGAATTCAGGAGGAAGGGCCTGATTGGGAGAGCCAGGAAGCAATGGGGTAGCTGCCCCACAGGAGTTATGGGGCTCCATGACTGGGGGTTTCAAGCAGAACACAGAATATAGAATAACGGAATTGGAAGGGACCTTGGAGGTCTTCTAGTCCAACCCCCTGCTCAGGCAGGAAACCCTACACCTTTTCAGACAAGGGGGTGAACTGTCTCCTCTTGAAAACCGCCCGTGATGGAGCACCCAGAACATCTGGAGGCAACTTCTGTTCCACTCATTAATTGTTCTCCCTGTCAGGAAATTTGTTCCAGGTTGCTTGATGAGTTTCCACCCGTCGTTTCTTGTCCTGCCCTCTGGGGCTCTGGAGAATAGGTGGACCGCTCTTCTCCAGGACAAAGCAAAGCAAAGGTGGGAGAAGATCTCTCCAGGATGCTCTGAGGATTTGTGTCCTGCAAGGAGGGTAGACTAGAAGACCTTTCCCCCATCCTCTCTTTCCAGGAGACCTCAAGGCCACAGCTTGGGCATCTTCACAGGCTCTTTCTAGCTTAGACAGGGGGCATTTCTTACAGTCAAAAATGTCAGCTTGGCTTTGGCTCCCCAGATGAAGCTGTGGACCTTCCTGTCACCTGAGCAAAGACCAGTTCTGGTCTGTCCAGAGGATGAGCTGGACCAAAGTGGGCAAGGGGTTCTGTCCTCTCCTCTCCTCCTGCTAAAAGGCCTCCTTGCCTGGGGCCTTCTGGTTTCCTGACCAGGCTGATAGGAGGACCATCTTCCTCAACACAGTGGCCAGCAGCAGCTGGACTGGGGTGGGTTTGGGGCATTCTCCCAATGGTGCTTCAGGAGGAGGAGAAGTCAGGAGACAGTGGGAGGGGGAGAGGCAGGGTCAGTCTCATGGCTTGCAGAGAGTGGGGGTGGCTATCTATTAGGAAGAAGACCCCCGCTACACCAAGATCTGCTTTAGCATCAGGGAACCTTACTTCAGCTCCAACTTTGATGGACGAGAGGAGAGCCTGGAGATGCAGCAGCCTGAAAGATCCCACAGAGATCTGCATGTACCAAGATGAAGTCTAGGCCAAGGTGACACCACACAGCTGACCATTTGGTCGAAGCAAACTGCACAAGTGACAACGTGCGGGACCTACCAAACCTCCCCTAAGCGGGATTCTTGCACTCAGCCAGGAATCCATAACGGCAACACTTCTGCCTCCCAGGACATGTCCAGTCATTCTGGCAAGGATGTTGCGGACGTTGAGGATGTTGAGGATGTTGGGGATGTTGAGGATGTTGAGGATGTTGAGGATGTTGAGGATGTTGAGGATGTTGGGGATGTTGATGGCCTTGGGGACACCTCCCACGTTTTTCTGCAAAATAGAAGATCCCAAGGCTGAGAGATTCCTCTAGAACTGGCATCCCAGATCAAGCAAGATCCCTCTCTGGACCTTTCAGCACCCAAAACACCATCTCTTCCCCCCCATGTCCCCACCAAGCCCAGCCATTTCCTCCTGGGGTCAACCTCTCAGGACTCTGGGCTGGACTTTATAACGGGGCTCCTCTGCTGGGGGTGCAAATGTGTCCCCCCGTTTCTACCACAGAGGAAGGTTCTCCTTGTGGGTCCATCTCGGTCTGCCTTCCCCTCAGGCAGGAATTCCAGGAAATGAGAGACAGACCTTTCCTCTGTTGGCTCTACATTCCCACAGCCCCCTCCCCAAACCCAGCGGGGGCAAGATAGCCCCCTCCCCCAGGAAGAAAATGATATCCCAATCAAGTAAATATCAAAAAGAAAAACCCTCCACACCAAGGCTTGTTAGGCAAGCTGAAGTATCTAAACAGGGATGCTTCCTCCTTCTCCTCCTCTTCCTCCTCCAAGACCACTAACTCCTCCTCCTCAGCATTCTTTCTCCTCCTCCTCCTCCTCCTCCTCCTCCTCCTCCTGTTACTCCTCCTCCTTTTCTTCCTCCTCTTCTCTGCAAGCCCCACTCCCTTCCACCACTGATGATGTTCACTAGTTGGGTAATGTACAGTAAAAGCTCTAAGAAAACCTCCGAGCACAGCCAGCACCAAGGACTCCACAATCCTCCTCCTCCTCCTCCTGTCTGCAAAGCCCTTCTAGCACTGATGATGTTCCCACATTTCCCTTCCCTTCTACTGAACCAATCATAGCCTGTTGTGAGAACCAGGATGTTACATTAAGCCACCCACTTCTTTTCCAATGAAGAGCCCAGTCTGTAACTCCTTCCCTACTTACCAACACAGGTGTAATGACATTCATCCCTGGTCTTAAAATTGTTGGCGTTGCCTTGGCATCCACCGTAAATAAATCCTTTACATTCGTTTGAAGTCGAGTCATAGTAGAAACGAGGCATATACGCCAAACACATTCCAGTTTCAGAAGGAAGATAACAAAGCTCTGCAGGAAATAGAAAGGTATGTGTGTGTGTGTGTGTGTGTGTGTGTATGTGTGTGTGTGTGTGTTATTTGATTAGCTAGCAGAAACATCTTGAAGTCATTTCCCCAACCTGGTGCCCTCCTAGCATACTCAGTCTGCACATGGTCAAGAGCCATCTGGGATGATTTAATTTTGTTTCCTGGGTTGGACTAGATGTCTGAATGATGGATCCTGTTACTTAAATCCTGATTTTCCTGTTGCATTGAATCGAGATAGGTCAGCCTTCTCTTGAAATTGCATTCTCTTTCTCCCCCCCTCCCATTTCTGTCTCCTCTTCAGCTGACTCCCAACTACCATCTCAAGAACCTTCCCAAGAAGTAGCTTCACAAGCCAGAGGTTCTAGACTGGGGCTCTTGGTTTTCCCTCCCTGGGGGAGAAGTCTGCCCTCTGATCACTTCAGCCCCTCCCAGAAAAGGGTTTCAATAGCATCCTGAAAGGTCTCACTTGGACGGTCCTGGCCGGAGACGGGGGTCAGCTCTGCCCAGAGGGTGAGGAGTCCCAGCAGGAGAAGAAGACCTCCAGAAGACATGATGAAGCCGTCTGCCCCACACCCAGGCTGCTCACTCTATTTATTCTCCCCACTGGGAATTTCACATCCAGGAAGCAGGATGGAGTAACAGAGTGAGAATTTCAAGTCTTTCCTCTTTCATCAGTTGGTTGAACAAGAGGTTGGGAATCCTGAGAGTTGCATTGGCTGGATGGTTGGGGAAAGCTAGGCAGGTCCCTGTTGTCCGCTTCCGGTTTCCCCCCTCACACACTCCAGGTTCCCAGTGTATTCCCCAGGTCCCCACCCTCGCCAAAAGGAAAGTTCTGTTGGGTCCGGTACTGCTTAGCTTAGGCACACGGTCAGAAGTCCAGGATCAAAGTGCACAGATCCACCTACACAAACTGCAGAATCCAGGTCCAAAGTCCACAGATGGAAGCCATGCCAAGGTGTGAGTCCAGAACCCAATGAAGAACTACAGGGTCCAAATATGCGCTCAAATGAAGCAGAGGCCAAGAAAACAGAAGCCACCGAGTTGGGATACCCCCACGAGAGGGATAATGGGCAGTTGCTTCCAACATCACGTTGCTCTTCCTCCTCCTCTCCACAAATCCCACACCCTTCTAGCACTGAGGAGAGTACGGACCTGGGTCCTGAAACATCTGCAAGAAAAGGACCAGGCTCAGAGGGCACAAGGGACCCCACAGTTCTCCTCCTCTCCTCCTCCTCCTCTCCCCAAACTGCACACAATTCTAGAACAGATGAAGTTATCTAGTAATAAAATGCGCTCAAGAAAACCACCAAGCTCAGAGAGCACCAAGGACCCCACAATCCTCCCCTCCCTTCCTCTCCTTCTTCTCCTCCTCCCCCTCCCCCTGCAACTCAACTGCCTTCTACCACTGATGAGGTTAGCCAGTTGTGTAATGAAAGGTGCAAGAAAACCACCAAGCTCAGAGAGCACCAAGGACCCCACAATCCTCCTCCTCCTTCTCCTTCCCCTCCCCTCCTCCAACTCAACTTCCTTCTACCACTGGGGAGGTTAGCTAGTTGTGTAATGAAAGGTGTGCAAGAGCACCAAGGACACCACAGTCTTCCTCCTCCCCCTCCCCCTCAAACCCCCCTTTCTTCTAGCGCTGATGAGGTTAATTAGTTGTGTAATGAAAGGTGTGCAAGAAAAGCACCAAGCTGGGGGACCCGCAAGGACTGTATGGTTCAACCATGGGCTACCAATACTCTCTTTCCCCTTTGCCCCATTTACTCCACGGGGCCTCCTGGCCTCCGTTCCCCACATTGGGACCTCGACTGAGCAGCCCTGTCAGAGGAACTGCAACCTTGCAAAATCCAAGCAACTGTTATTTGACTGATGACTTTAATTGTTTGGTGTGGATGAGGCTTATTGCTGTGCCAGAACTTCTGAATTCTTCAACCTTGCCTAATCCAAACCCATCTCCCAGGGCAGTTGAAGTTCTGCCTTGTGAAATTTAAGGAGTTTTCATTGGGTCTTCTGACTGGCATCAGAGGACGCTGATCAGCCCAGGGTGCCCCTCCCCCACTGCCTTGAAAGCCACCTTGGGGAACAATGCTCTTCCCCTGACATGGGGCAGGGACACAGGTCAAAGTAGGGAGGCGAAACCCCTAAAGGGGCCAAAGAAGACACCTGAGACCAAGAGATCAGTTGGAGCCAATGCTTTATTGCAGAGAAGAAGGAATGAACCCAGGGTGGGTTTTGGGGGGAGGGTCTCTAGGGTGGTCCAGGACAGAAGAAGGCTCTGATTCAAGATGGAACACTAGATCCAATTGGGGTAGATCCAATTGGGGTAGATCCAATTGGGGTGGGTGTCCTTGTGGGTGAAGCTGTAAAAACAAATATTCAGACATGAGGTTTCTGCGCATGATTCCCTCCAGGGCTTCATCCTGCTGAATCTTTCAGCCACGGAGATCCAGATCTGAAATCAGGCGGAATGGCCTGTTTGGGGGAGAAAGGAAGCAAAGGGGCAGCCTCCGCATTGCAGTTATGGGGCTCCATTACTGGGGCTTTCAAGCAAAGGTGGGACGGGATCTCTCCAATATGCTCTGAGGATTTCTTCACTGGAAAGAGGATGGACTAGAAGACCTCCAGAGTTATCCCCATCCTCTCTTTCCAAGAAACCTCAACGCCACCACTTGAGCATGTTCACATGTTCCTAACTCTGACTGGGAGCAATTTCATGTTTTCCTTTTTTCTTTCTTTCTTTTTTTTCCTGTTCCAGAAGCAGTAAATGCTCCAACACAGGAAGTTTTTAAGAAGAGACTGGACAGCCATTTGTCCGAAATGGTGTAGGGTTTCCTGCCCGAGCAGGGAGTTGGACTAGATGACCTCCAAGGTCCCTTCCAACTTTACTACTATTACTAAATAAATGTGGGCTTATCTTTGGTGCCTCTGGTGAAGCTGTGGACCTTCCGGTCACCTGAGCATGGATCAGTTCTGGTCTGCCCAGAGGATGAGCTGGACCAAAGTGGGCAAGGGGTTCTGTCCCAGCCTCTCCTCCTCCTGGAAGTCCTCCTTGCCTGGGACCTTCTGGCGTCCTGATCAGGCTGGCAGGAGGACCATCTTCTCCAACACAGTGTCCAGCAGCAGCTGGAACGGGGGAGGGCATTCTCCCAAAGGAGGTTCAGGAGGAGAAGAGGTCAAGGGACAGGGGGAGGGGGAGGGTCAGTCTCATGGCTCCCCCAGAGTGGGGGTGGGGTCCCTGACAGGAAGAAGGGACCCTCTGCACCACACCAAGCTCTGCTTCCACATCGGGGCACCTTCCTTTTCTTACATCTGCTCCCCCTTTGATGGACAGGAGGAGAGCCTGAGAGACCCCAGAGAAACCTGCAGGTGCCCAGAGCACGTCTGGACCCAGGAGACGCCCCACAGCCATTCCTTTGCACTGAGCAAACTGCACAAGTGACAATGTGCGGGACCTACCAAACGTCTCAAAGACGGCATCCTTGCACTCAGTCATGCCTCCGTAACGGCAACACTTCTGCTGCCCAGGACATTTCCAGTCATTTTCACAATTCTTGCGACAAGGAATCTTGCCTTGCTGGCCCTGTTGTTGAGGGCCCTGGGGACACACCCCAGGCTTTTCTGCAGAATAGAAGATCCCAAGACTGAGAGATTCCTCCAGAATTGGAATCTCAGATCCAGCAAGATCCCATCTCTGGCCTTTCAGGAACTGAAACATCTCCATACATCCAGGTGAGATGCTGCCAGATCCCAGCTGCCCACCTCCTTCCCCACAAAGCAGAGTTGTTTCCTGCTGGGGGTCGACCTCTCAGGATCTGGGGGAGGGTCCCTATAACTGGGCTCCCCTCCCTTTAGCCACAGATCCTGGGGGTGGACATGGAGAACCCCGGTTTCCACCAAAGAGGAAGGTGGAATTCCAGGGAATGGGAGGTAGAGGCTGTCTACGCTGGTCCTGCACACTCCCACAGCCCCCTCCCCAAATAGAGAGGGGGCAAGAGAGCGCCCTCCCCCAAGCTGGGGATGGACAACCAGAGAGTTCTTCTTTCCTTGGACCTCCTAGACGTTGCCTGAAGTTCTTAGGCTAAATGGGGAGGTTGAAGTTCTGAGCTGGCTCCCTCAGCACACGCAACTAGGCTCACTCAGAATTGGGCCCTTGGTGGTTCATGGACCAGGCAGGTGGGAGCCATAACACCAATATCCACATCATCAGGGACACACAGCCCAGCAGAAAATAATTCCCCAATCCAGGAACTATCAAGAAGGAAACCACACTCCCACCAAGACTTGTAGGAGAAGCTGAAGTATCTAAACCCACACTGCAGTGGTGATATTACCTAGCTGGGCCCTGAAATGTCTGCAAGAAAATGACAAAGCTCAGAGAGCATCAAGGACCCCTAAATTGTCATCCTCCTCCTCTTCCTCCTCCTCCTCTCTGCAAACTCACCCCCTTCTAGCACTGATGATGTTCCCTAGTTGGGTCATAAAACAGTCTGCAAAAAACCCACCAAGCTTAGACAGTGCCAGAAATTCCACAATTCAAACTTGAATGACCCAAGATTCTCTTCTACGGAATCAATCCTAGCCTGTTGTGAGAACCAGGATACTACATTAAGCCATCCTAGGCTTAATTTTAGGAGACAGCAGTTCTTTTATGATGAAGAGGTCAGTCTTTAGTTCCTTCCCTACTTACCAACACAGGTGTACTGACATTGATCTTTGGTCTCAAAATTGTTGGCATTCCCAGCGCATCCACTGTAAAAAAACTGTTCACATTGTTGCGAAGCCGAGTTGTAGTAGAAACGAGGAATTCTGCCTCTACACTGACCGGTTTCAGCAGGAAGAGAACAAAACTCTTTAAAATAGGGAGAGGGAGAGGTTATTTGATTAAGTAGCACAAGAATCTTTAAGGCACTACTCCAACCTGGTGCCCTCCCAGCATGCTCGGTTTGCACATGGTCAAGAGCCATCGGGGAAGATTTAATTTGGTTTCCTGCTCCGGGGTTTGGAGAGGATGGCTGAAGGATGGACCCTGAGGCTTAAAGCCCTGATTCTGCTGTTGCATTGAGTAAAGATAGGTCAGCCTTCCCCTGCAATTGCATTTCTCTTTCTGTCTCCTCTTCAGCTGACACCCAACTACCATCTCAAGAACTTTCTCAGAAGAAGCCCCACCAAGCCAGAGGTTCTAGACTGGGGCTCTTGGTTTTCCCTCCCTGGGGGAGAACTCTGCCCTCGGATCACATCAGCCCCTCCCAGCAAAGGGTTTCAAGATCATTCTGAAAGATCTCACTTGGAGGATCCTGGCCGGAGACGGGGGTCAGCTCTGCCCAGAGGGCGAGGACTCCCAGAAGCAGCAGAAGACCTCCAGAAGACATGATGAAGCCGTCTGTCCTAACCTCAGACTGCTCGCTCTATTTATTCTCCCCACTGGCAATTTCACACCTACAGATCCAGGAATCAGGATGACCTAATGCAGTGAGAATCCTAGTTCCTTTGTCTTTCCACAAGATGGTTGGACAAAAGAAGGGGAATCCCAAAAGTTGGATTGGCTGGCTACTTTGAGAGAAAGTTAGGTAAGATGTTATTACATCTTCCTGAAAGTGATTGTTTCGACATTCCCTTTCTATACATATACATATACAAATTCCAATATCTCAGGGGCTGCCCCAAAGAAGAGGGAGTCAAGCTGTTCTCCAAAGCACCTGAAGGCAGGACAAGAAGCAACAGATGGAAACTAATAAAGGAGAGAAGCAACCTGGAACTAAGGAGACACTTCCTGACAGTGAGGGCAATTAACCAGTGGAACAACCTGCCTCCAGAAGCGATGAATGCTCCAACACTGGAAGTTTTTAAGAAGACACTGGACAGCCATTGGTCCAAAATGGTGTAGGGTTTCCTGCCTGAGCAGGGGTTGGACTAGATGACCTCCAAGCTCCCTTCCAACTTTTTTATTATTATTATTATTATTATTATTATCGATCATCTCACAGTCAGCCAGATGTTCAGACTGGATTTGGTATTTTGTCTACCTATCGAGTCCTTACCCAGGACCTGGGATAGGCAGATGTGGATGTTTGATGGTATTACAGATATCGTCGCAGGATGGAAGCAGTTCCTAGCAAGGCTGCCATTTGCAATTGACTAATAGCAAATTTGTCAATGCCGATGATGGTGTTCAAGTGGTGCTCCAGTTGTTTTGGGATTGCACCCAAGGAGCCTATGACTATTGGTACTACCCTTGCTTGCTTTTGCCACAGTCTTTCTATTTCTATTTGTAGGTCTTTGTATTTTGTTATCTTCTCCAGTTCTTTCTCTTCTATTCTGCTGTCTCCAGGCACTGCCACGTCCACTATCCAGACTTTTTTGTCTTTCTTATCGACAATTGTTAAGTCTGGGGTGTTATGTTGCAGGTGCTTGTCTGTTTGAATTCTGAAGTCCCAGAGCAGTTTAATTTTATCATTTTCTATGACTTTCTCTATTTTATGATCCCACCAGTTTTTGCTTACAGGCAAATGATATTTTTTGCAGATCTTCCAATGCACCATTGTTGCTACTTTGTCATGCCGCTGCTTGTAATCAGTTTGTGCAATCTTCTTGCAACAGCTTACCAAGTGGTCCACTGTTTCTTCAGCTTCTTTGCATAGGCGGCACTTACTGTCTGTTGCTGTCTTCTCAATTTTGACTTTGTATGCATTTGTCCTTAAGGCTTGGTCTTGTGCAGCCAGAATTAGTCCCTCGGTCTCTTTCTTCAATTTTCCTGCTCTTAGCCATTGCCAGGTTTTATTATTATCTGCTTTCCCAGCTATTTTTTTCATGTATTGGCCATGTAGTGCTTTGTCTTCCCATGCCTCTATTCTGTTCTTCATTTGATCTTTCTTGTAGGCCAGTTTGGTCTCTCCAGTAGTTAGTAAACCTTCCTGATATACTAATTTCAGTGCATCTTCATCATTGTTCTTCAGATATTCTTCCAAAGCCATTTTTTCTTCTTCAACCATCTGATGTACTTGTAGCATTCCACGCCCACCTATTTGCCTTGGTAGATAAAGTCTATCAATGTCACTGCGTGGATGAAGGGCATGATTCATTGTCATTATTTTTCTGGTCTGCCTATCCATTGCTTTTAGTTCTGCTTGAGTCCAGTCCACTATTCCAGCTGTGTACCTAATGACTGGGATTGCCCAGGTGTTGATTGCCCTTATGGTATTTCCTCCATTGAGTTTGGACTTTAAGATCTTCTTCACTCTCTTGATGTATTCACCTCTAATCTTTTTCTTGACTTCAGTGTGATTGATGTTGTCAGCTTGAAGGATACCCAAGTATTTGTAGTACTCTTCCTCATCCAGACTCTTAATGTTATTTTCGTGGGGCATCTTGATTCCTTCAGTTTTCACTATTTTTCCTTGTTTGATAGTAAGTGTGGCACATTTGTCCAAGCCAAACTCCATTACAATATCTTGGCTATATATACGGACAGTGTTGAGCAGCGATTCTATTTCAGATGATGTTTTTCCATACAGCTTCAGATCATCCATGTAAAGGAGGTGGGATAGTCTAGCAGATGTTTTTGATGTTTGATAGCCATGTCCTGAGTTATTCAGTATTGTTGACAGAGGAAACAGTGCAATAACAAATAGTAATGGTGATAATGAATCTCCTTGAAATATTCCTCTCTTGATATTAACCTCTCCCAGCTTCTCACCATTGATCTGCAACTGTGTCTTCCATTGTGCCATCGATCTTTGCACAAATTTTCTGATGTTTCTACTGACTCCTGTTATTTCTAGGCACTTTATTATCCAATCATGTGGCAGAGAGTCAAATGCCTTTTTGTAGTCAATCCATGCTACATTCAGGTTGGTCTTCCTTCTCTTGCAGTTTTCCAAGATCATTTTGTCTATCCAAGATCATTTTGTCTATATTATTATTATTATTATTATTATTATTATTATTATTATTATTATTATTATTATTATTACTACTATTATTATTATTATTATTTTGGATCATCGCACAGTCAGCCAGATGTTCAGACTGGATTTGGCATTTTGTCTACCTATCGAGTCCTTACCCAGGACCTGGGATAGGCAGATGTGTATTATTATTATTATTATTATTATTAATCATCACACAGTCAGCCAGATATTCAGACTGGATTTGGTATTTTTGTCTACCTATAGAATCCATCCCAAGGACCTGGGATAGGCAGATGTGGATGTTTTATGTTATTACAGATATCATTGAGGGTTGGAAGCAGTTATTATTAATATTATTATTATTATTATTGATCATCGCACAGTCAGCCAGATGTTCAGACTGGATTTGGCATTTTGTCTACCTATCAAGTCCTTACTCCATTATTATTATTACTATTATTATTATTACTATTATTATTATTATATACAGATATGAATAAATAGAATAGAATAGAATAGAATAGAATAGAATAGAAGGAATGAAATAATGAATAGAATAGAATAGAATAGAATAGAATAGAATAGAAAATATGGAATGAAATAATGAATAGAGTAGAATAGAATGGAATGGAATGGAATGGAACGGAACGGAAGGGAAGGGAAGGGAACGGAATGGAACGGAACAGAATAAAATAATATAGAATAGAATGGAATGGAATGGAATGGAATAGAATAGAATAGAATAGAATAGAATAGAATAGAATAGAATAGAATAGAATAGAATAGAATAGAATAGAATAGAATAGAATAGAATAGAATAAATGAATAGGAATAGAGTAGAATAGAATAGAGAATAGAATAGAATAGAATAGAATAGAATAGAATAGAATAGAATAGAATAGAATAGAATAGAATAGAATAGAAAATATGGAATGAAATAATGAATAGAATAGAATAGAATAGAATAGAATAGAATAGAATAGAATAGAATAGAAAATATGGAATGAAATAATGAATAGAATAGAATGGAACAGAACGGAACGGAACGGAACGGAACAGAACAGAACAGAACAGAATAGAATAGAATAACCTATACCACTTCAGATAGGTGGCTATCCAGTCTTTTCTTATAAACCTTCAATGATGGAGCATCTACCAATTTCTGGAGGCAAATTGTTCCATTGGTTGATTGTTCTTAATTCCAGGTTGTTTTGGAAAATGAATTGACCCCCTTGTCTTTTTTGTGGCAGCCCCTCAAATACTGGAATATTACTATCATGTCCCCCCTAGTCCTTCTTTTCTCTAGACTGGCCATTCCCGAATCCTGCAACTGTTCTTCATATGTTTTGTTCTCCAGGGCTTTAATCATCTTAGTTGCTCTTCTCTGCACTTTTTCCAAAGTCCCAACATCTTTATTGTAATGTGGTGACCAAAACTGGGTGCAGGGTCCCAGGTGGGGCCTTACTAAGTCTTTGTAAAGTGGTACTAATACTTCATGTGATTTTAATTCTATGCCTTTGCTTATACAGCTAAGGATTGTGTTAGCTTTTTCGCCTGCTGCCACACATGGCTGGCTCATGTTGAAGTGATCGTCCACCAGGAACTCCAAGGCCCCGCTCACAGCTGCTGTTTTTGAGCCAGTACTTGTATCTTTGGGGTTTTTCCTGCCTAAGTGTAAAACGTTTTCTCCACACTGAAACTCATGTTGTTGGATAGGGCCCACTGTTCAAGTCTGTCAAGTTTTTTTTGGATCCTGAGTTTGTCTTCTGGGCTGTTGGCTCTTCCTGCCAGTTTAGTGTCATCTGCAAATTTGACAATTTCCCCTTCTATTCCCTCATCTAAGTCATTGATGAAGAGACTGAAGAGTCCTGGGCCTAAGATGGAAACCTGCATCTTCTAAAATCCAAGCAATTTGTCAATTGTCCAGTTGGTGGATCCAGAAAAAGGAACTCCTGGGACATTATTTTACCAACATTTACCGAATAAACCATATTGGTAGAAGATGAAGCGAAAGCAGCTCTGGGTTTCCCGTTGTTGAAGGAAAAGTCTTCATCATGGTTCAGTCCAAGCCAGGAATAAACAACATGGCGACTGCTTTAGAAAGAAGGTTGCAGTTTATTGAAGAGGAGAGCCAGACAGAAAAATGGCTCTGGAAGAAAAGAGAGAGAGAGAGAGCACATGTAGGGAGTGGGTTTTTATACCCTCTGGAGCCTTTTTGTTTGGAGTTGTTCCTGTGGCATGAACTTTGACCTAAGTCTGAGTGTGCCTTTCTGGTATTCTGATGGTGGTGGGTTAATCCTATTATCTCCCAAGGGTCATATCCTGCTTCCCTGGGGCTGTGGCTGACGACTCTTAGATTGTTGGTGTTGATTCTAGAGATCTTTCTTCCTAATCCCAGTTTCCTGACTCCTGTCTTTCTGACAAGATTAACACATCTGTAATTCTGTAGAGTTGGTTTCTGTTTGGGACAGAGAGACTTAGGGGCGGGGTTGGTTTCTGCTTTTAAAATCCTTTAGGGAAATATATTCTG